AGCGCCTGGTTCACATTCCGAGGTGCTGGGCTCTGCTGCTTATTGCTCTTCTACCGAAGCCGCCGCCTGAAGGGGGAGATCGTCCTATTGGGATCTTCGCGACGCCTCTTCGGTTGTGGTCCCGCTGGGCCCGATGGAAAGTTGCTGGCCCTTGGGAAAAGGCAAACCCTCGCGGGTTCTGGTATGGTGACTCAGGGGCCTCATGTGACATTTGCGTTTGGAAGCAGAGTTTCAAGGCGGAGTTGGCCAGAGACCAGGGCAGAGCGGCAGGGACAACCCTGCTCGACCTGGTCAAAGCATATGAGCACGTGCCCCACCATGTTTTAGCTGCAGCAGCCCGTCGGCACAAGTTCCGAGGTAAGACCCTTCGCTTCCTGCTCGCATCATATTGCCTCGACAGAATGGTGCTCTTCCAGAACATCGCCACGCAGGTGGTGGTGACGCACCGCACGATTGTCGCGGGCTGCAGCTGCGCGACTTCCCTACTGCGTCTGGTGCTCTTGTCGCCAGTGGATGCCGTCTCTCTTCGCTTCGTGAATGTCGAGGTGGCGGTCGTGGTAGATGATCTGCAGTTGCAACGTATTGGCGAGGCATGGGAAGTCGCCAGGGAACTCAAGGGGGCCGAGGACCTATTGGCGGCTGAGCTTACGCAGATCGGCTTGACTCTCTCCCTGCCCAAGAAGCACCAGGTGGTCATCGGCCAAGGCATACGGAAGGTGTTTAGGAAAGTCAACCCGTCCTCGTCGAGGTTCCACACACGCTCGGTTCGGAACCTGGGGCTGGACTTTGGCGGTGGAAATCGGCTTTCTCATTCGGTTCGTGCACAGCGGCTGGGCAGGATGGCGTCTCGGATCCCTCGGTATAAGCGGCTCGCGAAAGCTGGGGGCAAGACGATCAAGCTGGTGCAGACTGGCCTCAAGCCTGGGATGCTCTGGGCAGTCGGAGTTCACGGCATCAGCAACACGCACCTACTGAGCGCCAGGCAACTGGCGCGCGCGGGCATGGTCTACAGGCACACGGGCAGGTCGCTCTCATTGGACCTCATGCTGGCTGGGCCGCAGGTCGACCCCGCCTTCGAGTGCAACAGGAGCCCGATCTTCCTCTGGCTGCAGGCGCTGTGGGACGGATGGGCCCCCAGAGCAGATATGGCGCGACTTCTGAGTGGAGCATGGTCACGCCTGTCTAGAGTTCCTGTGTCTCAAGTTTGGTCTGACATTCGCGGACCTGCTTCTGCGCTAGTTGCGACAATTTTGCGGTTGGGTTGGTCTGTATCTGACCCTTTTCATTGGAAGACCCACCGAGGTCCTCTTGCAATTGAACAGATTTCCCCGAAGGAGGGAGGTAGGTTAGTTGATGAGGCCACCGAGCGGTGGGTGTGGCGCCAGGTTCTCGCGAAGCATCCCTCGTGGGTCTCGCCCTGCCCTCATCCTCCTCTCGTGGAGCCCCTGAGGTCCCTCCTCCAGCCTCATTCTGTCCGAGGCCCTGACTGGACCCCAAGGCATCAGGGACTGCTGCGGTGCCTGTTTGCAGGAGGTTTCTGGTCGCAGGAGCGACTGTACGAGTCTGGTGGAGCCGTCAACCCGAGCTGCCTTGCCTGTCAGAGTGCTGGATCTACCTGGCACCGATTCTACGATTGCCCCCTGCATACCGAGTTCCGTCGGGATTACAGAGCTGGCAGTGCCATGGCTGGTCAAATGCTAGACATGGCTCGAGCTGCTGCGGTGGATACCTTGCTTTTCACGCGCTTTCTTGTCCCTGACCCTGCTTGGCTCTTCCCGAGCCCCTGCCTCGAGGAGCGAGTCGTGTGGACGGTGCGGTCTCCCGACTTGCTGCTCGACGTGCACGTGTTCGGTGAGGGGTCGGGGAGGCACGGAAGTTTCTCTCGCTTACGGCGCTGCGGATGGGGACTCTGTTCGCTTGACGACAGCAAGCGAGTGGTTGCTCGCCTGCATGGCCCTCTGCCCTGTCTCATTCAATCTGTGCCAGCGGCTGAGCTTTTCAGTTTCTTGATGGCGCTGAGGTACATGGGAGCTCAGATGAAGTTTTATACGGATTGCAAGCCGCTCGTGGATGTCTGGCGCCAAGGCGTTGGAGCGGGCACCGCTGCGAGTGACCCGCTTGCCTTACTTTGGAGGGAGGTTTGGAGGCTTGTGTCTGACCGTGGGGGTGAGTCGGTGGAGGTTTCTCACGTCAAAGCGCATACTCCTGCCTCTGCCGTAGCAGAGGGACGGATTTCAGAATGGCAGCGTGTCGGCAATGCCCAGGCTGATCAGTCGGCTAACTGGGGTGCCGCCATGCATAGTGATTCCCTCCAGCTGCGATCTGCGCATGGCGCGTCGCGCAGCGCCATCCGCCTTGTAGCCCAGTTCTGTACCAGGCTGGTCGCTCGGATCGGCACCATCACGCCACGTGACGCCCAAGCGCAAATACTCGGCCGTGCAATAGGCACGATTGAGGGGGGACTTGGTCCCCCGAAGCCGCACTCGCGTTTCGACCCTGCAGTGACGGTGGTTGCGCACAGGTTCCGTTGCATGGTGTGCCTTCGGTCAGCGAGGACACGCTCGGTGCTTCGCCAGCTTCGATGTGACGACAGGTCCAGCTCCCACGCACTTCACCGCGCGGGGCCTTTCCTGTTCTGCTCTCTGTGCGGGGCATTTTCGGAAAAGAAGAGCCAGGGTCTTTCGCAGGATTGCTTACCGATGAATCGTAGGCAGGGGGTCCTGGTGAGAGACTCGAGATACTACAGGCTGCGCAACCTCATGCGAGGCTGCCATCCTTTACGGGCCCGCGATTTTGTGGGCCCTCCGATTTTGCTGCGGAAGCGAAGGCTGCTGGAGTCGGCCGAACTGCCGCCTCTGCCTGCTCTTTCTCCTCCTGTCGGGACTGGGAGTGGGGGGGTGGGGGTGGAGTGGACGGGGCAGGAGTGCTCTCCGCCGCCCCCCCACCCGCTTCAAGGCCGATTTATCTCGGCCTTGGGGACGGACCCCCCTCTCCATGTCTCCCCCTGCTCTGCCTGCCTCTATTCTGGGCTCTTTTCTTTTCCCCGATTGGCCCAGCGTAGAGGAGTTCAGGAACGACGCTGGGCGAAACCTATCCCAAGGTGGGCCGTTGGGAGTCTGCCAGGATTTTAGGCCGTGAGACTGGTCTGAATATCGCGTCTCCAGCTGCTGCCTTTGGCTGGCGTGGGCTGTATAGCCTGTCCTGTGGTGTTAGGACTTGTTTTTGTTTTTTTCTTTTTTTTTTCAAACGCAATGCGGCTACGGTTTTTTCCGCCTGGTGGAGTCGCTAGTCTCTGTTTCAGCCCGTCCATAAGCTTTTTGCCTTTGCCTGGCACGGGCATGTCGTCACGTCCAGCAGTTTGAATCAAGATCTCGACAGTGATTCAGCACTTTCCCTCGAACACCTCACACGCTCGGTGCAAGCTTCGATGTACCTCTTTATGTACTTCTACATGGTGCTCCTCAATGTTGCGCGGTCTGTGGCAACAGGAGCGGGTGCCCTCACAAACGATCAGGTCAGTAAGTGTGCAACAGGGTTCGCAACAGTTAGGGTTGCGCAAAACACAAGTCTCGACGCGAATGTGTGCCCGCGGGCCTGGATGCCAGAACATCGCGCCTCGAATTGTGTTTGCGCACCCCGGCTTTCCCGAACTTGGTTGCAGCGCTTATCAGGGTAGCCTCGAATCCATATTCCAAACCCTTGGTTCGCTTGAGCGCAGCCACGTCGACGTCCACTTGATGCAGCAGCGTCTCAGGAAGGACGACCCTGATCTTGTGCAGAGTGAACCTTCACCGATGCCCCCCGTCGTCTGCGTGCAAACCGACGATGGCGTGGGGATGCATCATGTTGTGGTAGAGTTTGATGAGAATAGCACAGCAGAGTCACGCCAGGCGCAAAACCCATACACTGTGTATGGGACCTCAGGTCATTGCCAGGTTTGCAGCAGATCAGGGTACAACTGCCTCGGCCAAAGCACCTACAATGCGGCGTGGGCCGCTGTGAACTTCGGTGGCGTCAACTTGGGCACTGTCACCAAGTGGACAGTAACAGCATACGGGGGAAAGTGCCATGATGGAAATGGAGTTCTTTCAATGACGTTGTCAGGCACTACCGCCACAGGAACCTGTACAGGGTCAACGGCATGCGATTGCGGCTCGACGTGCGTCGCGTGCACCGCCTCGAGCTCAGATTACCCGAGTGGCATCCCGGGCTGGAATTGGGGCAGCAACTCCATTAGTCCCAGTTACACCGTGAGCACGTACTGTGTTTCCAGGTTGGAGATCGACATCCAGTACGTGCAGGCGTCTCTACTCGCACATGTCCCATCTCGTTCCATACTTTGGCGAATTCGTTTTCTTGTTCTTGCTTCTTTTCGATTCCACCCCAAACCCACGTCCATCGAAGCGAGGGTGTCGTTTTCCCCCTCCATTTCTTTCGCTACGTCGAGTCTAGTTAGAGCACCTCGCCCTTCTTATTCTATGCTGCATTCAAAGTCCAGGTGCGTTTGTTTGTGCATCCCTGCTCCGCTTTGATATCCTCAGCCTTTGTTGGGGCCCCCGTGGGCCCTTCTTGAGGCCCTCTTATGAGTCTCTTGAACCGTTTTGAGCCCCTCTGGAGCCGTGCTCGAACCTCTTCGTTTCGGACCCTGTTGAAGCATTTTGAGGGCGTCTTGAGAGCCAGTCTGGAGAGCCCGTCTTCAGCTTTGAAGCCCTTCGGGCCCCAAGACAGCCTGAGAAGGGCCCCAGTGTGCCCCAAGAGGGCTCTAATGCAGCCTGGAGAGACTCGAAAGACGGCCTCGAGGTGACGCCCAACCCGACGCCTAACCCGACGCCGAACCCGACGCCGAACCCGACGCCGAACCCGACGCCGAACCCGACGCCGAACCCGACGCCGAACCCGACGCCGAACCCGACGCCGAACCCGACGCTGAACCCTACGCCGAACCCGACGCCGAGCCCGACGCCGATCCCGACGCCCTACCCGACGCCCTACCCGACGCCCTACCCGACGGCCTTCCCGACGGCCTTCCCGACGGCCTTCCCGGCGGCCTTTCCGACGCCCTACCCGACGCCGTACCCGACGCCGTACCCGACGCCCTACCCAACGCTCTACCCGACGGCCTTCCCGACGCCCTACCCGACGACCTTCCCGACGCCATTCCCGACGCCCTTCCCGACGGCCTTCCCGACGGCCTTCCCGACGGCCTCTCCAACGCCCTTCCCGACGGCATTCCCGACTCCCTTCCCGACTCCCAGCCCGACGCCCAGCCCGACGTATCCTCTGGGCTGGCCGACGCCGCATCCGACATTTCCTTCTGGCTTCGTACCCGTGGCGGCTGGCGCGGCTGGAGCCGGTGGATCTGTGGCTGCCACTGGCGATCCGCATTTGCAGAACATTTTCGGTGAGCGGTTCGACCTGACGCAGTCCGGCAAACACGTTTTGATACAGATCCCGCAGGGAGAGCCTGCCGAGATGACGCTGCTTAGTGTAGAGGCCTTGGCGAAACAATTGGGTGGACACTGCGCAGACATGTACTTCCAAGAAGTTAATATCCTGTAGGCTTACGCCATTCCTTCGACCCCGAGCTCTAGGATTTGCTACGATATCCTGAGACGCTTCAGAAGGAGCACAAGAGTGGATGGGGGAAAATATGTGGTGGAATAGCAGATCGTGCTCTTCGTTGAACTGAGTGCGCAGAAGGGTCATCTACAGTCGTGAACCTGAAGGAGATGAGAGTATTGCAACTTCCGATTCGGTGGCCCGTGGTGGTTCCGCTGCTCTGGGCGCCCTGGGCCCGTGCCCCATGCCGCGTGGTGAGGCTGTCGGGGCGGCCTCTGTGTCCGCTGGGGAGCCGCCCTCTGTGATTCAGGGTGGGCAGCGATACAGTATGTTTTGTCCATCGGGGGCCACCCGCGGGACATCTCGAGCGTCCTGGGCTTGTCGGCCAGCGTCCAGGTCACGTGGGGCGGGCAGCACGAAGCCCGGTTTCGAGACAACATCGGGGAGTCAGGCCCTGCCACACTCGTCTCGAGTCCGTTTTGGGGGACTTCCTTCGGCCAGGGCTAGGACGAGGACACGGCCGTTCCAGAGCGTTCTGGAGCTCTCAGAGCGTGCCAGGACGCTCTGAGCAGGCCGCGGCGCCCGAGGCATTCTCCAGAGCCGCTGGATCTCAGAGATCTCGATCTATCCCCACCCAGTCTTATCCTCGTCCTGGCTTCGTCTTGACCCTCGCCTCGAGTCCCTCTTGGGGGACTTCCTGAGCCGCCTTGGGCCTCTCTTGGGACCACCTCGGGCACGCCTGGGCCGCTCTTGGGGTGGCCCAGGCTCGCCCCGGGCGTCTCTGGGGCCGGGCTTGGGCCGTCCTGGGCCCGTCCTGAGGGCGTCTGTGGGCAGGGCTGGGCCCGTGCTGGGGCCTCTCGAAGCCACCTGGCGGCGAAACGGGGCGAGAAGCAGCAATCGCGTTCGTGTAGACGCTGCGGCCTCTCGTGCCCTCGACCATCTTGGGGCACTGCTACGCGCATCAGCGTGGCTGACCTGGCATGTTGGGGTGGGTGGAGGCTGTCTTGGAGCCCCCAGCGAAGGCACGCTGCACCAGGGGCCGCGCGAGGTTCCAGACGGCGGGTCGGCCAGTTCGAACCGCCCCTGTTGTATTTGCCTTCCAGACCAGAGTTCTGGACTCCTGGGTAGGGGGAATAGGGGGGGAGGGGGGCGGCCAAACATCTCAAGCGCCGCGTGGCCCCCTGCAAACGGGGGCCAGCGGATCACGGGGGCGTGGGCGGAGGCGAGGCAGACCGGCGGCCTTCGTTTCCAAGCTCAGAGTGAAGGGATGCATTGGGCGAAGTTCGGGCAGGTAGAACTGAAGATTGCCCACGGGCACACGCAGCAGGGCACCCAGTATCTGAATTTCTACGTCAAGCACCTCGGGCGTGCTGGGTTTGCCATCGGAGGGTTGCTGGGAGCAGATGACCACACGCAGGCGTCGATGCGTGCGGCAGAGTGTGTTCGCCAGGTTTCCCTTCTTGAACCTGTTCCTCGTCACCGTGCATCCTTCATGTCGGATGCAGAGGCCAGCCTCGAATGATGAGGACGGCCACCAAGGATCGTGCGGTTTGATTTTGATTTCTGTTCTTGGAACCAAAAAAGACACTTGACTCTGCGCGTATCCCCATCAGCTCATCCAGACTCGATTCCCAGGCGAGTCGTGGTGGGAAGGGCAGAGGGGGAGTACCAGTGAAACAAGCAGGGGGAGGGGGGGGAGACGCCAGTGGAACCCGAGCTGGGATCCGCTCGAGCAGCCCCCAGCAGTGGCCAAGTTGGGGTCATCTGGGCCGCTGGGTAGCCCCGTGGAGCCCTCTTGCGGGCTCTCTTGGGGCCTCCTTTCTGGGAGCCGTTGGGGCCTTCTTGGGTCAATCCCAACAACAACAAAAACGTGGAACCATGATTGAACTCCCCACTCAGGAGGGGCATCTTGAGGCCTTCCTGAAGCGACAGGGCGAGAAGGCCGCAATCTCCGAGAAAACACGCGCTTTTCGACGACCCTGGCCTCTCGGATGCACCCTTGGCGGGTGCGGGGGCCGGCCATGTCGGGTGTTTTTCTGGGCCTCTCAGAGCCATGCTGGAGGCCATAGCTACGGCCGTATGCCTGGGGGCCGTGCCGCATGCGTGGGCCTCCCGCAGCCGTTCCGGCTCCTCCTCGCCGCACCCCGGGAAGTCGGGTCTTCAGGGCTCCGCCACAGAAAAACATGTACGGCCGGGCCGAGATTCTCACATCGAGGCCGGCTCGGGGAGGGCACCCTGGGCGTTCTTCGTGTCCGTTGGCTGCTCCTGTGCGTCCTGGCTCTGGCCGTGCACCGACACCTTCCGATGGATTGTTCTTGGGCCTCTGGGGAGGATGCCGGTGAATTGATCACCTCTGCGAGCCAGCGGTTTTATGCACCGGCCGCCCTCCCCGAAGTTACCTGCACCATTCGTCGTAGGGCGTCTGTGTGTGTATATATACACATGTATTCATTTGTTTTCAAGTATACATATGATGTATATATTGTTGTGCACACACATATATAGATACATGCTTATGTACATCTGTACATATGTACATATATATATATGTATATGGGCTCTGCCGTATCCCCGCCCCCCTGAAAAACTGAGCAGAAGTACAGGCTCCGTTTCGCTCCTCCGATCTCCCCCTCTTCCCCACTTCTCCTCCTTCTTCTCCATCCTACTCCGCCGCCTCTGCATCCCTCGTCGTCGTCGTCGTCGTCGTCGTCGTCTTCCTCTGTCTTGCCATTGTTCTGAAGAGAGTCTGCATCCGTGGCATCCAGGCAAGGGGCGAGCGAATAACAACAACGGCAAGGAAAAACCAAAAAAACCTAAGGAACAACCAAAAAAACCAAAGAAATCAAAGGCAGACCACCGAAAAACCAAACAAAACCTAAGGAAAAACTAAAAAAAACAAAAAAAACCAAAGATTTCAATACTTTCTCTTGGGGGCGCGGGGGTGGACGAAACACTTTTTTTGTTTTTTTTGTTTTGTTTTTTTGGGTTTTTCCTTAGTTTTTTTTTTTTTGTTTTTCTGTGGTCTTCCTTTGATTTCTTTGTTTTTTCTGTTTTTCCTTAGGTCTCTTTGGTTTTTCACCCCCTCCGCCAGGCCTTCGCCTTGGCTTCGGGCGAGAGGAAGAATTGGCGAAACTGTTTGCCGCCAAAGTCTTCAAACACGTATTGCCAGACCTTCGTGCCGATCTTCGGGTGCACGAAAACCAGCCTCCGCGGCGTCCCATAGGCCAACTCCTTGAAGGGCGCGAACTTCATCTTACGTTCGGGGCTCTTAAGGACGATGTGCTTGAGGATTGTTTTGGCGCCGTCCTGGCCGTCCAAAATAGCGAACTGGAGCTGAGTTTCTGGCGGGGGCGGGCTCTTGAAACCGTACGGCGCTGGGAGGCCGCTCCAGTCGTTGTTCTCGGACGCTTTCTTGTAGAGTTCATCCAAGTTGGCTGGGGCGGCATCCGCGTGGTTCACAACTAAGTCGATGTAGTGTGCCAAAGCGTTGTCCTGCGGCGTCACTTCCTTGGTGAACTCGTCCAGAATGTCAGCCGTGATCCTCGTGGGAGTTGTCGGGGTGACCAGCGGCGCCGAGAGTGCGCGCAAGAAGTACCCCTCGACGCGCACCTCGATGTCCTCGTACATGGCCATAGCGAGTCGAGGCGGCGCGGCGGGCGGCCGAGACGCGGCGAGAGCTTTGCGGTCGAGCCCAAACAGCTACGAGCTAGTGCCGTTCGCTCCTCTCGGCGTAGCTCCGCGTCCGCCACGGAGGGGCATCCGTTTTTTTGGATGCCCCTCCAGAGTAGCGCCGTGGAAGCGCTTTGCAGTGTTGAAATCTTGGTTTGTGGTGTGGTATCATCACTGATGCTGGGCCGTTGCTGGTGTCGTTGCGTAACAAGTGTGCGACCATGTGGCCTTGTGTTCGGGCACAATGATGGGAACCCGTTTTTTTGGGTTCCCTCCTGGGTCCGCGTCCGCCACAGAGGGGCATCCGTTTTTGGGTGCCCCTCCAGAGTAGCGCCGCGGAAGCGCTTTGCAGTGTCGAAGACTTGGTTTGTGGTGTGGTGTCATCACTGATGCTGAGCCGTTGCTGGTGTCGTTGGCGTAACAAAGCGATGCGGCCATTGTGGCCTCTTGTGTTGGAGCACAGTGATGGGAACTCGTTTTTTTGGGGTTCCCTTTTTTTCCGGGTTCCGCGTTCCGCCACCACGGAGGGGTAATTTGTTTTTTCGGGATTGACCTCAAGTAAAGTAACGCCATGGTGGAAGCGCCTTTGCAGCGTTGAAATCCTTTGTTGGTGGTGTTGGTTATCATCAGATGCTGGGCCGTTCCGATTGCTGGTGTCGTTGTGCGACCATGTGGCCTTGTGTTCGGGCACAGTGATGGTAACCCGTTTTTTTGGGTTCCCTCCTGGGTCCGCGTCCGCCACAGAGGGGCATCCGTTTTTGGATGCCCCTCCAAAGTAGCGCCGTGGAAGCGCTTTGCAGTGTCGAAGACTTGGTTTGTGGTGTGGTGTCATCACTGATGCTGGGCCGTTGCTGGTGTCGTTGCGTAACAAGCGTGCGGCCATGTGGCCTTGTGTTCGAGCACAATGATGGGAACCCGTTCTTTGGGTTCCCTCCTGGGTCCGCGTCCGCCACGGAGGGGCATCCGTTTTTCGGATGCCCTCCAGAGTAACGCCATGGAAACGCTTTGCAGTGTCGAAGTTTTGGTTTGTTGTGTGGTATCACCACTGATGCTGAGCCGTTGCTGGTGTCCTTGCGTAACAGGCGTGCAACCATGTGGCCTTGTGTTCGGGCACAGTGATGGTAACCTGTTTTTTGGGTTCCCTCCTGGGACCCTTCCTGGGTTCCCTCCTGGGTCCCCTCCTGGGTTCCTTCTTGGGTCCCCTCCTGGGTTCTCTCCTGGGTACCCTCGTGGGTTCCCTCCTGGGTCCCTTCCTGGGTTCCCTCCTGGGTCTCCTCCTGGGTCCCTTGCTGGGTTCCCTTTT